GGGGACACCCCCGGGCAGGGACCCTGGGGACACCCCCGGGCAGGGACCCGGGGACACCCCCGGGAAGGGACTCTGGGGACACCCCCGGGCAGGGACTCTGGGGACACCCCCGGGAAGGGACCCTGGGGACACCCCCGGGCAGGGACCCTGGGGACACCCCCGGACAGGGACCCGGGGACACCCCCGGACAGGGACCCTGGGGACACCCCCGGACAGGGACCCGAGGACACCCCCGGACAGGGACCCTGGGGACATCCCCGGACAGGGACCCTGGGGACACCCCCGGGCAGGGACCCTGGGGACACCCCCGGACAGGGATCTTGGGGACACCCCCGGACAGGGACCCCGCGGCTGGCGCGGTGCGGGAGGGAATGCGGGAATGTGCCAATGTCCCCCGGTGATGCCACCTCTGTCCCCAGCGCCGGCGGCAGCAGCGGCAAGGCCGGGTGCCGGGGGTCCCGCCCGCTTCCCGGAGAGACAAGGTAACCCCGGGCTGGCTGCGGGGGGCTCGGGGGGCGCAGCGGGCCGGGGGCTAACGGGGTCCGTCCCGCAGCGAGCCCTCCGCTGGGAGCCCCGGAGCCGGCCCGCGCCGCCGCCAGGGAGGAGCGGGGAGGGGGCTTTGCCGCCGCCCCCGGCAGGGAGGACAGGCCGGCCTGGCAGCCCCCTGCTGCCGCACAGCCCCCTCCCGCATCCGCGGCCCCGCAGCGGCAGCAGCCCCGCGAGGAGGAGGAGGAGGATGCCAACAGCTACGACTCGGATGAAGGCAGTATGTACCCAGGGAGGGAGGGAGGTGTTTCTTTGGGAAATGAGGGGTTTGGAGGAGGTTGCTGGGTGGGCGTGAGGTGGCGGTGGGTGCCCAGCAAGGAAAATCCTTGGGGAATGCTGCTGAGCTGGGATTCGTGAGCAGGATCTGTGCTGGAACATCCTGGGTGGGATGAGCTGCTTGGAGAGGAGCTGCTAATATCCCCTGTGCCTGCTCTTCATCCCCTGGATGAAGGAACACAAGAGCTGGTTTCCAACAATCCAAAACACGAGCCGGGTGCTGCTCAGCCCCAGCTCATCTCGGGATGGTCCCTGGTGGAATTGCTGCGGGAAGGTTTGGCAGGATTCCTCCTGCTGTGCCTGGAAAATCCTGGAGTCGGCTCCAAAGCCCCAGGCTGCCCTCCCTGGGCGGTTTCTGCTCTGCAGAGCTGTGTCCAGAGCTCCCGAATCCGCCCGGATTTGCGGCGGTTTGGCCGCTGCCGGCTCGGTCTCACTGCATTAAACAGCTTTTACATTTGACCCGCAAATCTTTCTAATTATTACTAATCGGGGATGATTAAAGGCAGTTATTGGCCGGGGTTTTAACGAGGTCCTGTTTCCTCCTCCTCCTCCCTCGCTCTCAGCCACGCTGGGAGCTCTGGAGTTCAGCCTGCACTACGACCAGGAGAACAGCTCCCTGCACTGCACCCTCATCAAGGCCAAGGCAAGTTCTCTTGCTTTTTTTCATTTTCTTTCCCTGATTTGAATCCACCTGGCTCCCGGTTTCTCTGGTACAAGGGATGGAAGCCCTGTGGCTACTGGTCTCCCTTGGAGACCCCAACACGACTGCTCCTGGCTGGGGAGGGTTGGGTTGTTTTTCCTTGAGCAGCTCTGAGAGATCTGTGGGAGCAGTGATGGCCTGGAATTGTCCTCCCAGAGAAGCTGTGGCTGCCCCTGGATCTCTGGAAGTGTCCAAGGCCAGGTTGGACAGGGTTTGGAGCAGCCTGGGACAGTGGAATGTGTCCCTGGAACTTGGTGACATTCGAGGTCTCTTCCACCCCAAACTATCCTGTGATTCTACAATTCCAATTTTTTTCCAGGGGTGGGTCAGATATTTCTGCATCTTGGGTCGCTGACCACATTTTCTCTTCACTGAATTTTTCATGGGCAGCTTTTTCTCTTCCTCGGCTTTGCTGAAGGAGGATTCACATCCTGTGTTTCCTTTATGGTTTTTTTTTAGGGCTTAAAACCGATGGATTCCAATGGCCTGGCTGATCCCTATGTGAAACTGCACCTCCTGCCCGGAGCCAGCAAGGTGAGGTTTTGCCAGTTTTGGTGCATTTTGGGCTGGGGATGGAGCAGATTTTTTTTCTCAAATCCCCCTCAGGTCCCTCCCTCGGATCAGATTTTTCCCCAGTGATTTCTCTGCTCGCTGCTGTTCCCCCGGGGGGTTTCTCCGAACAGGGAGGATGCTCACAGATACTCTCCCAGACCCGAGGAACAGCTCATCCTGCAGGCAGGAATCTGCTCAGGGATGGAGGGAAGCTCCAGAGGAGGCACTGCTGTTAATTCATCACAAAACATCTTCCCTAAAAAATCTAAATATTGCCAGGGTTGGAATTATCCATTTGCTTGGAAGCTGCAGCRTGTCCTTGTTGGAGCTGTGGGGAGATAACCGTGGGGGAAACTTTGGATCCATCATGGAAATTCCTGGGAATCTCCTTCCCAAGCTGATCTTGAGGAAGGGATGGCTCAGAAGAACCAGGATTCAAACAAGGGGAATAAATTATAAATAATAAAATTATTGGTTTGATTTTACACCTTTTCTTTACGCACAGGGGATTCCTGGTCTCGTTCGGAGGAAATCCGGGTGTGATGCTGGGAATTGCTTCGGTTTTTGTTGCTCTAATTTGCTGATATTTCRCTTTTTAAAAATCTGAGCATGCATTTGTGATCAATTCCCTGCTGTCACCTCCTCCAGGCCATGCCCTGAGCACCTTTTTCCTTCTCCAAAAGTCCTTGAGGGAAAAAACCCCAGGGAGTGACAAAATCCAACCTCTCCTGGCTGCCACGTGTCACTGAGTTTCTGGTGCTCCTCCTTGATGCTCCCCTGGTGTTTATGGCTCCCCATCACCCAGATGTGATGGAACATCCATGCCAGGAGCTGGGATTTGTGCAGGGAGGAATTCTGGGGTGTGATCTCTCGTGGTTTTTTGTGACTCCTCCAGTCCAACAAGCTGAGGACGAAGACGCTGCGCAACACCCGGAATCCGGTGTGGAACGAGACCCTGGTGTACCACGGCATCACCGACGAGGACATGCAGAGGAAAACCCTCAGGCAAGCATAGACCTGTGCAGGGGGGGGTTGGGGTTGAGGAAATGCAGGTTTTTGGGTTAAAATCCACGTGAATTTGCTCATTTGGATGGTTCTTGTAAGAGAAGAAAAATGGCATTTTGGCCTTGTGATTTAGTAGTGAATTATTGATATTACCACGATTTTTATTGTTGTAGAGATGGGTATTTTGYGTGTCTGTGCTCATTTGAGGATATCCTGGGAAAAATAAGAAGTCTATTTAAATATCCCTCAAAATTTGTGGCTCTTTCCTCCCTCAGGAAATGTCCACCTTTTCATTTCTTGCCCCATCACAAGGCAAATATTAAAAACATTGTGGGGGTTTTTTTTTTGGCTAACTGTAAATTTGGGGGTTGATTGCTTTTGGCCAGAGGAAATCCAGATCAAGGGTGGGTTTCTGGGGGGCTTGGTTTTGCTTTTTCCACCCCTCAGCAGTGGGTTTGGCTCTGGGGTCAGGCACCACTCCAGCCTGGCTGATTTTCCCCTTTCCCTCCTCGCTCCAGGATCTCAGTGTGTGACGAGGACAAATTTGGCCACAACGAGTTTATCGGAGAAACCAGAGTTGCCTTGAAAAAACTCAAAGCCAACCAGAAAAAGAACTTCAACATCTGCCTGGAGAGAGTAATACCGGTGAGAATCCATGAAAATTCCCTCTGTTCCTGTAGGGAATGCAAACAAACACCACGTGAGGGATGCAGGGATGGGCTGGGGGCTGGAGGTACCTGAGTTCCTTGGCACCTTTAGGATTCTAAAGCCATTAGGATGGGCTGNTGAGTTCCTTGGCACCTTTAGGATTCTAAAGCCATTAGGATGGGCTGATTTGATCCATCAAGGCCAGGAGATCAGAGCATGGTGGGAATCCATGGGAAGTGACCGATGGATGTCACCSTGGAGGAGGGGACAGCGGCTCTGTTGAATCGCTGGGGTGGAGGTTGATGGAGCAGGTGGACATTCCCAAGGCTGGCACAGGAGTGGGGCTGAACTCCCAGGGTTTTTTCCCACGTGGTCACTCACAACAGTTTCCTTATCCCTTTCCCGTCGCAGACGAAGCGCACCGGSACAACCGGCGCATCCCGCGGGATGGCTCTGTACGAGGAGGAGGTGAGTTCTTGGGGCTGGACAAGCTCCACCCACGCCCATCCCTCATGCACAACCCCTTTATCTCCTCTTCCCCGACCTCCATCTCCTCCATCTCCCGCAGGTGGATCGCGGCGGGGACGTGGAGGAGCGCGGCAAGATCCTGGTGTCGCTCATGTACAGCACCCAGCAGGGCGGGCTCATCGTGGGCATCGTGCGCTGCGTGCACCTGGCGGCCATGGACGCCAACGGATACTCRGATCCCTTCGTCAAGCTGTGAGTGAGCTCCGGGCTGGAGCCGTGGAGCCATCTGCTGTCCTTGGGAGCTCCTCCCGAAGCCTCTGGAGCTGTCCAGCAGCGGGGCTGGTGTTCCTGTTGTGGGGGAAATTTGGGGCGCTGATCCAGCCCTTGAGTTCATCATTCCCCAAATGTCCAGATCCTGTGGTTACCTTGTGTACAATCCCAGAATTGTTAAAAGTCAGAGACTTCCAGATCATGGAGTCTCACCTTTGAGCACCTCATGTACAATCCCAGAATTGTTAAAGGTTGGCAAAGACTTCCACATCATGGAGTCCCAACTTGATCGCCTCATGTAGAATCCCAGAACTGTTAAATGTTGGAAAAGATTTCCAGATGGTGGAGTCCCACCTTTGATCAACCCACATAAAATCCCAGAGTTGTTGAAGGTTGGAAAAGACTCCCAKATCATGGAGCCCCACCACTGAGCACCTCATAAACAATCTCAGAATTGTTAAAGGTTGGAAAAGACTTCCAGATRGTGGAGTCCCACCTTTGATCACCTCGTGTAGAGCCCCAGAATTGTTAAATGTTGGAAAAGATTCCCAGATGGTGGAGTCCCACATTTGATGTGCAAACGAAGGGGTGTGAGGGGTGTGGGTATGGATTTGGGGCTGCAGCCCAAGGTGGAGGATCCCAACTTCCCCAGTATCCGTAGGAGCGGGATTCCCACCCACCAGGAGCGTGGTGGGAATGCAGGGATGGTGGAATTTGGAGCACAGGGGGTCCTTCTCTCCACCTCTGACCCACCATGGCTGCAGGACAGAGGGGGCTCCGTGTCCCTCTGTGCCCCACGTGCTGCCCCATAAACCCACGTGGCTCCTGGAAATGTGTGGGAATAAGGATTTTATTCAGTCCCTGCAGCCTTTCCTGGTTTTAGTTCCTGTTTTTTTTCTTTACCTCCAGAAAAAAACCCTCTGTTCTCCCTGAATCTTTCAATCACTCTCTCATTGTACATTCTCCACATCTTTGTGTAGCTCAGTGGAACTGAGCAGTTTCCCCTTCCAGTCTCTATATGTTGTGTTCTCCATCTCCACAAACAGAAGATGGTGGCTTTCCATTTTTAAATCAGCTTCTAACAGAGATSGAATTAATCCCAGCTCTAAATTGAGCCCCGGATCTGCAGCCCAGGCTGCRCAGCTCCAGCCCCACACTTTTCCCACATCCTCTGGGAGGTGGGAAGGGAGACTGGCCCTAAATAAATCTCTTCTAGCCCCAAAAGTCCCTTTTTAAGCTTATAAACTCCCACTGCTCTTGCACTTGWATTTTGAGCTGTTTTCTGTTGCCCCCAGTTGGCTGAAACCCGACATGGGGAAAAAGGCCAAGCACAAGACGCAGATTAAGAAGAAAACGTTAAATCCTGAGTTTAACGAGGTATGGATGGGCTTTTTTTTTTATACCATTAAATCAATTTACTGATCATGGTTTTGAGTGGAGGAGGTGGAAGACAAACTCCCCAAGATCTGGCTCTTTCTCAAGCTCCTTTCCCACTCCTGTGCCCAGGAATATTTTGGGAATGACTTTGCCATGGCAGCACCGCACATCCTGAGAGCTCCCCGCTGCCGCTGCTGCCGACTCTGTGCCATCCCAGCTGGGGACGTGGGTGGGATGAGCATTTCTGGGGGTGGAAAATGGAAATTCTCTGCTGGTGCTGCTGGGATGGGACACCTGGGAAGGGCTCACGTAGGTGCCAGGAGTGAGCTCAGCTTTCCTGGGAAAAGAGGCGCCATAGGGAAATTTTCCCTTCTTTAATTTTATTTTTTACCGTCCTCTGCTTGGATTTTGAATCCAGGCTGAGCAGGGATGGTGCCCAACCCTTTAACCATGGTTTTTGGGGTGTGTTTTCCTGTGGGGTGTGACGTGGGCATTCCCATTTCTGCAGGAGTTCTTCTATGACATCAAACACAGCGACCTGGCCAAGAAATCCCTGGACATTTCCGTCTGGGATTACGACATCGGAAAATCCAACGACTACATCGGTGAGCTGGAAATCTCTGCCCTCTGGGGCGGGGTTGGATGGGTGGGAGGGGAGCCTGGATCACCTGCACGGGTGGGATGAGGGAATCTGGGGGATGCAGCATCCTGAGGGGTTTTCCAAGCAGGAAAATGAGATTTTTGTTCCAGGAGGTGGGAAAAGCCTTGCAAGGTGTGAAGTGTGGCAGGATTTCCGGGGACATCAGCATCACCTMGGGGTACAAATCTTACTTTTCCCCCTTTTCCCAGGCGGCTGCCAGCTGGGAATCACGGCCAAGGGCGAGCGCTTGAAACACTGGTACGAGTGCTTGAAGAACAAGGACAAGAAGATCGAGCGCTGGCACACGCTGCAGAACGAGAACCACGTGGCCAGCGATTAAAGGGAGCCCTGCCCGGCCCTCCCCGCCCTCTGCCACGCCCCCCTAGGTCCCTGATGTCCCCGATGTCCCCGATGTCCCCGGTGTCCCGTCTTCCAGCGCAGCCACGCCTTGCTACAGCCTCCGGTCCCAGGGTCCTCTCCCGTCCTCCCCTCTGCTGAAAACTCCCCCGGATCTTTTCTATTCTCCTTGATTTCTTTTCCCCTGGGGGAGGGAGGCCGCCGAGTTCCCCCGGTGTGTCGTTTTGGCGAGCAATATTKCCCTCCCGATCGTTCCTCGCTCTCCCCCATCCCCGTGGCAGCGTCCCCGTCGCCGCTCCGCATCCCTCCAACCTCCGCTCCCGGCGGGAGCTCGGAGCTCCGGGATGTCCCGCTTGTGTGATCTCAATACCTCAGTTGCAATAACGAAAAAAAAGCTCCTCGGCTTTGGTGTGGGTGTCGCCGTCGCCTGGTGTCCGTGTCGTCGTGGCCAAAAATCCGGTGTGGCCGGCGTTCATCCCGCGAGTCCCGCTTGAGCTTCACTCGTGCTGCTCTGGCCCACCCGAGCAATGTCGTGGCGCGTCCTTTGCTGAGAAGATGCACTGGTTAACGTGAGAACAGCGGCAAGGAGGTTTTGGGGCGCTCTGTGCTCGCAGGGAAGCGGCTTTGGGTTGGTTTGTGCCGTTCCCGTTTCCTTCGCCCGAGGGGTTCGGGGGTTCCGCTGCTGCGGGAGCCCGGCTGTGYTTTAGGGTTGTGACTACCTCCTCTTCACCTCTGAGCTGTGTGGTAGTGACTGGCTGAGCCCTGAGGGTCCYCTCAGACCCCTCCTGCTTTGCTGTTCCTCAGGAGGGAAGCTGAGGGAGCTGCTACTCCCCAAAAACCCCCTGAGGCATGCGAGGATTATCGCTTTGAAACACCGCAACTCCCGAAATCGGCTGGAACAGCCCCGAGACCTTCCCAGCTTGGGTTGTTTTGGTTTCGTTTTGTTTCTCCCAAATCTGCACAAGAACTTYTGTCCCTAACTGTGCTTTAAGGAGCTGTTGGGTCTGCCCTGGACAGAGTCTGGTACCATTCCCTGCCTCTGGAAAAACCCCAAGCACAGCCCCATAGGAGCACCACGAGCACTATGGAATCTCTGGAATGGTCACACCGCGCATGTTGTGTGAAACCTCGATCCTGCTGCTGCAGCTGCTCTTCCTTGGGGTTGGATGAGTTCTTTTCCCGATATTTTCTTTATTTTCCCCTCTCCAGCAGAMCTCACTGATGTSCCAGGAGTGTCCCAAATTCCATYCCCTGCTCTGTCCTGCCAGAGCTGGGATTCCTCTCCCATCACCCCAGGCTCCATGCTGGAGTTGAGCTTGGGGCTTGGTGAATGGAGGGGAAGAGGACACCTGGAAAATTTTCCCCTTTTCTCATAGAATTCTTGCCTCTGTCCCTGTAAATGTGACATCCCTGAGCCGTGCTGGCCAGGCCCCAGACCCAAACAATCCCATTCTCTTGGGTTTTTTCCCTCTGCATCCCGTGCTGAATCCTCCCTGCTCCAGGCCCAGGTGAGCTGTGGGATGGTGGGATCCAGGATCAAAGAYCTTTTCCAACCTTAATGATCCCAAATCACCACCATCCTTTCCAGAGGGATGGACCTGGCCCAAACATTCATTTTCACCCCAGAGCACCACTTGGGCACGGAGCAGTGTTGGCTGAGGGTAAAAATACCTTTAAAAATCACAATATTTAAGCAATTCCTCAATTTCTCCCAGCCCTGCAGCAGCTCAGCCTCCTCTGTATGTGCAGAACAACTCACTTAAGGTTACYCTTATCTCATCCTGTATTCCCCTTCCTGTTCAGCCTGCTTTCTTCAGAAAAAGGATACTCCAATCATCTCTTTGCACCTCCAAAAAAAGCAAGTGCAACTTGCCAGTCTCCTCAGTATTGTGCAAAACCATGACCCTGGTCTCTGTCCCCCACTTCTCAGTTTTTTTTCTGATGGTAATCCTGCCCTGAATGACTTCTTTTCGTTGTAAATAAATAAAGCATGCACCTTATGGATTGGGAATGGTGAAAAACAAACAAACAGAAAATAAAAAAACAAGAAAAAAAAAGAGAAAATTAACAGCCTCTTCTACTGCTGTTTGCATTCAGACTCGCATGCAGTGATTTTACAGCCAAATATCGGTTTACAACTGTTAAGAGAAAAAGAAAATGTTACACAGGAATTAGAAATCCTCTGGTCTTCCGCTGCATGCAGCACAACATCCTCTMTTGATGTGGTATCTAATAAAGTGAGACTATTGGAAAAGAAAAAAAGAAGGGATTTTTTGGCTTCTTTCAATTCCTGTGGGATTGGGAACCTCATGGGGTGGGCAGAGGGGTTGGTTCTGGGGATTCCTGGTGGGATGGAGCTGGGCTCGAGATGTTGAGGAGTTTGGGGTGGAGAGGGGGGAGACAAGTCCTGGCTCCCCTGTGGGTGATGGGAATTCATGTTTGGGAATACCCTGRTTTAAATCGTGCGGGTTTAAACCATCTGAGGCAGCCGTGGGCTCCCTCTCGCCTGGTGCCTGGGGATGAATGCCCCGGAGAAATCCAGGTGCCGTGGTGGGAGATTCTTTTCCCTTGGAGAGCGAATCCACCCTCCCCGTGCCCTCCTCACCCCCAATTTGGGGCGCAGCAGCCGCTCCCCTGAGCGGTGGCATCTCCCGTTGTGCCGCTGCTCCACCGAGCAACGATTTTCTCATTATTCCCTTTAATTCGGGTATTTTCAGGCTCAATTCCCGGGGCAGGACCGGTGGGACCCCCCGGACTCGGCGGGTTGCGGCTCCGCGGGGCCCCGGGCGGTGACATCGCCTGTCGGGGACATCGCCCGCTCCGTGTGGCCCGGTGGCGATGCCCTGAGACAGCAGCAGATGTCACTGGAGCTCCAGGGATGCGACGGAAAGGCATGGAAAGGTGCGGAAAAGTCGGGAAAGGTGCGGAAAAATCGGGAAGTGCGGGAAGGATGCCCCGCTGTCCCCAGGGATTTGCGGCAATCGCACCCCTCTCCCTGCTGCTTCTCTTCCAAACCTTCACTGGCAGGGAAGAGCTGGAGCTTTGTCCATCTTTCCCCGTTCCCAGGGAAGTCCAGCTGCCTGAAAATCGAGATTTATCTTCTTTTAGTTGTTTTTGTTTTCCAGCGTCGAGTTCTTCCAATCGATTTTTCCTTCTCGTTTCTTTTCCTGCACAGCAAGCGGCCAGCAGAGAAATCCCGGTGGAGAAGCCTCATCCAGGAGGTCCCATCCAAGAAATCTGATCCAAGAGGTCCCATCCAAAAAATTCAGTCCAATAAGTCCCATCCAAGAAGTCCCAGCAGAGACCACCCAGTTTCAGTTGAAGACTGGGATGAGGATCCCACACATTCCCTGGGATKAAGGTGCTGACTGTGGGATGGTTGTGAATTCCTGAATGGAAAATTACTCCAAAGAGGGATTTTGAGCAAATCCATGGGAATAAGAGAGGATCCTGCCTGATCCTGGGACATCAGGAGAGCGCTGAGCAGGAGAGAAATCTCCCCCAGCTTTGCATCTCCCAGAGAAAAAAAAAATATGTGAAAAACAAAACAAGCTTTTACTCTTTAACATTTCACTTAAAAAATAGAGGAGCTCAAAGAAATAAATCCCTCCTCTATCCGCTTTGGAGCCCAGMTTTTCCAAAAGCCAGCAGGGAGAAATCCCTTTATCTGCCAGGGCAGAGATAACAATGTAATTACGAGCTGAGATCAATGGCTTTCATCTCATCAGGCCTCAGCCTCAAATAAATTTTCTCTTTTCACTCCGGGCTTGGCTACCATCTCCTCTGGACTACTGGCCCACTGCAGAGAGATGAAGGTCTGTGATGCCATCTGGAGAGGCCATGAAGGCTTTTCCTGGGGGAAGCTGAGTTTTGGGATGTCCTTTTCCCAGGGGAATGTTGGATCTTCAGTGGGAGAGGCTGGAGAYCCTCAGGGGATGCTCAGCTCCTCCTGTTCCATGTTTTAGTGGTTGTGTGAATTTCCCGACTTTTTTTTTGGGGGAGGAAGAAAACTCCCAACAATAAATATCATCCTTGTTTTTATTGCAGCTGCAGAATGGGAGTGTAACTTAGGGATTAATGGTGCTTCTGCCCAGCGCGGAGAGGGGAAAGTGGCATTTCATTAGGAACAGGCACAAAAATCCGACCTTTTCCACCACATTCCCATCATCCCGTGGCTTTGCTGTTTTCCAGCCRGCACCACTCCATCCCAGCCTGGCTGTGGCGCTGAGCTCATCTCAGCCGCTCCCTGCGGGCTGCATTTCCAAAGGGCAGCGTTGCCCAGGACACCGGGATGGGTTTRAACTGGGAGAGAGCGGGTTGGGGTTGGATGGAAGGGGATCTCTCCCTCCCCCACTCCCTGTCGGGCGGATCCAGCCCTTTGAATCCTGCTGCTGCACCGTCAGAGCTGGAAAACTGCATTTTCCTGGAATCCAGTTGGAGTTAAATCAGTTTATTGTGGAATGTGAGCCGGGCAGGAGCGGAGATGGGAGCCGGGAAACCGCGGGTGCTGCATCCTCGGTGTGAGGGACGGACACGGCTCCTTCGGGGACATTTTGGGAATGCTGGRCAATGAAGGGTTAACGCCAGGGAACAGGTGGATTGGGAAGATCAGGCAGCGGGAAGCCGGGAGCCGCCTTCCAAGCTGGGTTGAGCAGCTGGAGTGGGGYTGGAAAACCGCAGTTTTCTGCTTTCACAGATCTGAGCAGTTCACTGAATCCATTAGGGATGCAGAGATAACGGATTTCTCAGGTTTTCTGGGRAAAAAAAAAATCCCAACGAGCTCCTTTCGAAAACTGTCCGAACAAAAAGGCTCGTCTCGATATCGGGGCAAAGCGGGGAATAAAAGATGTGGCAGACTAAAAGGAGCAAAGAACCCGAAATTCATTTAGGCCGGGTCAAAGGGAACGGCCACTGAGAAGCCTTCGGGGTGTTTGTAAATAGGATGGGCTGAATTTGAGAGGGAAGGAGCCTGAGAAATTCCCGGGTGTCTCCGTCACTCCTCTTTGTCCCCTGATGAGGGTCAGCGCCGTTAATTACGGGCCAGGGGGGCAGAGCCCSGGAGCCGATCGCTATCTCCGCGATAAGAGCCTTGTCATGGAAACCCTGAGCGCCGCAGCCAAGATCTCCGGAGCCTCGGCAAATCAGGGCTTCATTCAGCCCCTAACAAAGAGTATTTTCCTTTTCAAATCCGAGTTATTCAGCTCTGCACGACTCCTGCTCCATTGTAAAGGCAGGTGCGACTTCCAGAGGGGGAATTCAGCCGGTTCCTTATCTCCGAAGCTCTCGCCGAGGATGAGTTTCCAGCGGCTCTCACCTCGCTGGTGCTCACATTTTTCATCCCCCAGCAGCTCTCGGGGTGGTTTAARTGTCTTGGCCTTGCAAATTGGCTGTGATGGAGCGGCTGGAAAGTTTTCGGGGAAAGAAGGCTTTGGAGAGCGGAGGGAAAAGCGGGAATGAAAACCTGCCTGAGGGAAAGCTGGTCTGCCAGGCAGGATTGAGGATAATCCAGGTGGGTTATATCCCTGAAAAATAGAATCTTTCCATCTCTAGAAGGGCTCAATTCAGGCTGGACGGAACCGGGAGCAACCTGGGATAGTGGAWCGAGGTGAAATGGGRTAATTTTAAGTTCYCTTCCAACCCAAATTTTTCCCGGATTCGCCGAGGAAGCAGAAGCACGGAGCAAAGTCCATTAAGAAACCGCTGAATTAAAAACTCAGGAAAAGGGAAAATAAATCCCAGCAATCCCCTGGGAAGTGTTCCCAGGAGCTGGCGGGCTCCGGTGCACCAGGATAACCCCGAACTCTCCTGGAGTGGGAATCTTATCGATCTCCTTTGTTTTACAAGCGGCGCTGACGTGATGATATTTGGCAGCAGCGTTCACACTGAAATACGAGCTGCGCTTGGGCCTCTTTATCTTTAATTGTTTGAAAAATGACACGGGGATGGCGTTGGTGCCCTGGAAATCATCCCGGGGCTGCGGGGGAGGGGTCGATCCACACCTTGGGGACCTGTTCGAGTGGCACAGGGACCGTGTGGGTTTCTCCCCTTTTTCCCAATCCCTGGAATCTCACGATGCTGCAGCGGGGTCCAAAGGTGCTGGGAATTYTCTCCTGTGCTCATGGAAGTGGCTGCTGTCCCCGGGGCAGGGTGTGACAAGACGAGCTGGTGGCAGCGCCAAGTTCATCCATCCCAGGTTATTTTCCACGCCTTTTTTTTTTTTTTAATTTTTTTCCCCTAATCGACTTGAAACCCTTGTCAGCATCCCACGCGGGAGCGGTGGAGAGAGGCAGAGGGAGGTGGAGTGCGCTGACATTTAATTCAGACGAGGATTTACGCTGAAATGGAGTTAAAATTTCCTGTCCTGGTGCCAACCAGCTGCAGCYGAGAGCTTGGGAGAGCCAGACCCGAGGGATTGCTGGTCTGTCCCTGGGATGGAGAGCGTTTACACCCCAAGGGTGTGAAATTCCTGCTTTTGGAAAAGGGTCTGACCCTCTTTAGGATGGGCACTTGGGGCAGGGCCCTCCCTCGGCTTCACCTGTTGTTTTCGCTGGCTGTGGGATGACTGGGTGGGAATTCTTCCTTTTGCTTCAGCTCCTGGAAAATTGGTCCCTGACTGATGGGGAACGCGCTGACCCAAATCCACACCTCCTCAAATCCTTAAACACCGATGGATTTATGGAAGGGCCACAGACCCATTACGGGGGGGAGAAATTTTGCAGCATTAGAGTGAAAAGGAAGGTTTTAAACACATTCACTGATGCCTTTGTACCTCAGCGTGGAAAACGAACACAATTTATWCACTTTTTTCCTTCCCCTCCTCAGATTTTCATTTCGATGTTTTCCACAGGTGCTCCTCGGGGCAGGTGTGACCCGTGGATCTGTCGCTGCTGAGTTCACGGCAGCTACTTTATTAATTCGGAATAATCTGATAAATCCCGATCCGGGGAGCAGCTCGGGATGCAGGGAGCC